AACAGCCATGGAAGCAGCAGTCAAGAAATCAGACGACGTATTGCATTAGGCAAATCTGCTGCACAGGAACTTTTTAAAGTGTTGAAGAGCAAAGATTTCAGCTTGAGGACTAATGTGCACCTGACTCAAGCCATGTTATTTTCAATAACCTCATATGCATACGAAAGTTGGACAGTGAATAAGGAAGACCATAGAAGAATTGATGGTTTTGAATTATGGTGTTGGAGGAGAATACTGAAAGTGCCATGGGCTACCAAAATAACCAATATATCCGTTTTGGAGGAAGTGCAGCCAGAGTGCTCCTTCAAGGCCAAGATGGTCAAACTTCGTCTCTCAAACTTTGGACAAATTGTCAGGAGGGACCAGTTGCTGGAGAAAGATATCATGTTTGGTAAGGTGGAGGGTCAAAGAAAAAGAGGAAGACCCCAACAAGATGGATTGGCCAAGTGGCAGCATCAATGGGCTCACATGTGGCAACAGTAGTGAGGTTGGCCCAGGATTGGGCAGTGTTTCATTCTGCTGTGCATAAGGTCGCTATGAGTCGGTACCGACTCGATGGCACCTAATGACAACAACAACAAATGGAGGGAAGAGATACTGGAATATAAGGAAACCACAACAGTGGGGTTGGGGTGGATAGTTTAGTTCGTGTGTTGGGGAAGGCAATACAGGAAGGGGAAGGAGGCGGAAGAAAAAGATAGATAGGGGAACACTGAAACAGGTGTGCATGGGCTAAAACGGACAGAGGTAAACAGTGATGCATGTTCAACCTTGGAACAACAGGGCTCTGGGATACAGGGATCTATACATAGTTTGAAGAGGCGAAATAACACTAATATGCTTGACTATTGCTTTCCCTCACCTAAGATTGTAAAATGATACTTGAGTGGGATAGAAAGGAATGTTGGGAAACAAGATTACAGAAAACTTGTAAGCCTGTCTTCAGCCTATAACCGATTGGAATACCTAAAAGGGGTTCTAGAACTTTCCCAGTGAAATAGGCCTCTTCCAAAGCCTTTGCAGAGTATAGGACCTT